TCGGGGCCTGGGTGCTGTCCCTGAGCAAATTATTTTGCTCAAGGGCAGTGCTCTACCACTTTGAGCCACAGCACCACTTCCAGTTTTCTGGTGTTTAATTGGAGATTAGAGTCTCATAGACTTTCTTGCTGGGGCTAGCTTTGAACCTTGATCATCAGATCTCAGCCTCCTGAATAGCTAGGATTATAGGCTTGAGCCACAGGCACCCAGCTCAGGGTTTTCAATTCTCTTTCTCCCCTGTCCCCTTCAAAGTGCCCAAGCTGGGCAGAGAGGCTTACATAGAAAGCAGTCTGTGAGTGGCAGTTTTTTTGCCAAGATCATGTTTGTTCTTCCCAACTTTTTAATTTATTTTTTTTAACACAGCTCTCACCTCACTCTGTAGTCCAGAGTGGGCTTGAATTCCTGATCTTCCTTCTTCTACCTCTCGAGAGCTGAGATTACAGGCATGTACCATCATCAAGTTAACATTACTGAGAGGATCAAGGAAACTTTGGGAAACTGGGAGAGGAGTTTATCTGTTCTAATATTAATCACCCCATAAAACACATGTTTATTTAGTTGTTGGCGGTCCCTCTTCCTGGAGGTAGGAAGCTGTTATTCTTGGAGATAGTAGTTAGGGCTTGGGCCAGGGATCCAGCAGGAGAGAGGGTAAGCAGCTGGGCTCCAGCCATGGGGAGGTGGTCACAGGCCTGGAGCTGGCCTCAAGACAGGGAGGAGGAGGTAACAGCTTCTGCCTCTACTTATGTATGACACAGCCCATCTGTCCATGGCCTGACTTGTGTGCACACCTACTGTGTATGTACACTGTATGCCAGGCATCCCAGGACACTGCTCATCTGTGGACAGGCATAGTCCAGGTCAAGTGCAGAGAGCATTAATTCCAGACAAAGGCAGAAGGGAACAGAGTCAGACCTGGCAGGAAATCCCTAAAGGGCAGACATTGGCTTGATGCATAATCACCCCCAAGAAATACTGATCCATCTTTAGAGCCACTAGGTCAGAGAGCAACTTCTTTCACAGGAGAAAGAGCCACTGAGAAGGGAAAGAAGAGTCAAAGGGATCAGAGTTGAAGGAGAGATAAGAGGACTACAAAACCTTTACACATGCCAGGCGTAATGGTCACACACCTGTACTCAGAACTCAGGTTGTTGAGGTGGGAAGAACTTAAGTTCAAGGCCAGCCTAGGTTCTGTGATGAGCTAAAGCCAGCCTGGACACAGAAAGAAGACCCCACACAGAAAAGAGAAACAAAAAAGAGGGAAGAAAGGAAGGAAGGAAAAAGGAAAAAAAGAAGGAAAGAAGGAAGGGAGGGGGGAAGGGTGTAGTGGTTTGCTGGGTAATGTGTGTAGGGAAGAGAGGAAAGAGGAGGCTAGGGAAAGAAGTGGAGTTTGAGTCTATACAGGGTGGCAGGCAGGCATATCTGGAAACAAAGACATTGCCCTAGAAGAACAGAATGGCCAGCCTATCTCAGAACTCTTGGGTAAAAAGCTCTGTGTGTGTGTGTATGTGTGTGTGCGTGTGTGTCTCATTTTCACACACACACACACACACACACAAATCAATTTAAGAGGAACAAAATGAAGAGATATTTTAATCTGCCAATTGAATTTAAGGACCATAATCAGTGCTTGAAAATGCTAGGGATTATGGTGATTTATGGCCAGAACTCGAATCAGATGGAGCCTTGGCCTTATCGGATGCAGAATAGCCTGCTGGGAAATCCAAAAGCGAGCCAACCCATTTATAGTCAAAGAAGGGGAACAGGTCAGGCCAGGTTGGGCTGCCTGTGCTCTGGCCCAGGGTGGGACCCCACAGATTACCCACCAGGCCCCCCTTGAAGATCAGAAGCCCCAGCTCCCCTAGCACGTTCCCTTCAACCTCATCTGTCTAAGTCTGGAATGTGGAAGCCCAGCCCTGGTCTCCTCTCCCAAGAAACCTTCTTGACTCCACCCTCCCTCGCTGACCTGAGCCTCCGGACTTCCTGTCTTCTTTTATGTTCAAACCTGCCGGGGGCGAGGGGAGTAGGTGATGAGTGCCTTGCTCTGGTCCCAGAACACTCAGTTCAGTCCCAGCTCGGTCACATCCCTACATGGGCAGGCCAGGCCTTCCACAGGCCTCAGTTTTCTCCCTGCCAAATGGGGATAAAAAATGCTCCCCTCCAGACCTGTTGCTTGGAGGTTAAATGAGCTAACTGGATGGAAAGCATCTCAGCAGATGGGAAGGATCTTATGACCGCAACACTTAGCAATTTACTGCCCTCTCTGGGCTGTGCTGTGGTTGTGTCCCAGCGTCTGTTTTGCCTCCCTCACTGCCCAGTGAGCCTTGGGCTGTCTGGAGACAGGGCTGCTCCATCTCAGCCACCACCCGCCCACTCTTCTTCAGCTTCCCATTTGGCCACCCTCCCCTCTCCTCTCCTCTCTTGCCTCACACATAACCCTCAGCTTTGCCTACAGGCCAGGTTTAAGATTGTTCTGGAGGAGGCATGGGTGCATTGACTCAGCCAAGGTCTCAGAACTGAGATGAGCTTGAGGGCCTTGGGGTGCTGGAGAAGAGAATTCTGCCAGGAAGGCCGTAGGAAGGAGAACCAGAGTGCGGGTGGTGAACAAGAGTTTGCTTTGCTTGAGGATTCCCCCACCCCACCCCCCCCCCCACACACACACACACAAGGCTGGGACTTCGCAAAGAGCAGAGACAGGCTCTGTCTTCCACAGGTGGCAAAGACTGGCACAGACACTTCCCAACTGAGGAGAGTGAGGCTAGACAGGAGTCCCCAAGTTGCAGCACAGACTCAAGCTGTGAGGTAGCACTGCCTCTTAGTGCCTGGCCCTGAGGACTCCAGAGCAGCAGGAAAGGGTTCACGCCAATCTTGAGTTAAGCACCGCCTTCCTTAGGATAGGTGGGGATGATTGACAGCCGCTGGCCACATGCAAACTTCAAAGAAGCCCAGAGGACAGCTAATATCACCCTATACATGGCCAAGGTTGATGGGACCCGGATCTAGCCTGGGTCTATCTCCACTGCACTGGCAAATGACCTCTTCAGGTAGAGGCACCCCCCCCACACACACACACACACCAAGTACTGTCAGGTCAAGGAAGGGCTGGGCAGAGGCTGCCCTGACCGGCCTGGGCACCTCCACCAGGGACTGGCTCCAGGAACAGCCTGCTTCAGGCTCTCCACATGTCAGCATGAATGCAGAAACACTTTTATTGACTTGAAAAACAGAAAGTTCCCTGTTAGTTAATAAAAACAGCCTGGTGTTTGGGACTCAGCAAACAGAAAGAGTTCTAGAGATTAGTCCTTTCCTTCCTTCTTTTCTTCCTTCCTTCCTTCCTTTCATTCTTTTGTTCTTTCTTTTCTTCCTTCGTTTTTTACTTTCACTGAATTAAAAAAAAACTTTTTTATATCAGTTCTAGGGCTTGAACTCAGAACACCCACACTCTCAATTGATTTTTTCACTCAAGGTTGGCGCTCTACCACTTGAACCACACTCCAGTTCCAAAGTTCGCTGTTTTTACTCAAATAAAAGTGTTTTTTAAATAAAAAAGAAAGAAAGAAAAGTTTCACTATTACTAAACTCTGAAATCAGAAGGGGGTCAGGACTCCAACACCTTGTGGAATGTTTCTCTGCCAGGGGAAGAAGACAAGTCTGGGAGACGAGGAGCAAATGTTGGGTTGGCATGGCAGCCAGGATGGAGCTGGGCTGTGCACTCACTTCCTCATTTAATTTAATCCTCCCTTCAATGCATTTACAGATGGGAACGCTGAGGCCTGGGTAGGATCTGCCTAGAGACAAAGCAAGGTTTGCCCACAGGCTGATCTGCATTCATAGTCCATGCGGTCACACACACACACACACACACACACACACACACACACACACACACACACACAGAGTACATGTGTACCAAAGTAGCAAGGTGGAAAGGATGAGAGACTGCAAGTTGGAGAATTGGCTCTAGTGCCACCTTAGGCAGCAAGTCATGGTGGAACACTAGGAAGTCAGATTCTCTGAGGCCTCTTCCAGCCTTGGCAGATGGGCTGTGGCCCCAGCAGGGCCAGTTTGTGGTACTTCTCTACATGAGCCCAGGTTTACTCTCTCCCTCCCTCTGCAAGAACCTAACTCACACCAGGGGCCCTGGAGCATGGAGACCAGCCTGAGCCCTGCTGGTGCCTTCTGCTCTCAGCCTCCCCCCTCTTTCACCCAACATCCCTGCAGAAAGCACAGGGGTGGAGTGCGGCCACTTTGCAGCTGCCCCACTCACTGCCCCAAGACTCAACCTCCCTCAACTTGTGTCTCTGTCAGTCATGGAGTTGGCATTCCAAAGTTGCTGAGAACTCTAAAGTCTTCCACAGGCTGTGTTACTGTGACGAGTCTGGGACAGGGGTCTGAGGCTACCATTTCTATTTTGTTTTGGTTTTCTTTTCTATTCGTACTGAGGTTTGAACTCAATGCCTTGAACAGGTGCTCTACCACTGAACCATGCCTCCAGTCCCTTTTTTGCACTGGTTATTTTTTAGATAGGTTCACACTTCTGCTCCAATACATACCTGGACTACCATCCGCCTATTTTAGGCTTCTCATTGTGGTTGAGATGAAGGGTGCAAACCACCACACCCAGTGGGCTTCTGACACAGCCCCATGGATTTTTTTCTGCTTGTAACTTGATCCTATATCAATCTCAGCCTGTCCTGCCACTTTGGATGACAGGTATGCATCACTGCACCTAGCTACTATGGTTGAGAAAGGGTCCTGTGGAATTTTCTGTCCAGACAAGCCTCAAACAGTGATTTTTACGTTCTTGGACATCCAAGTCGCTGGGATGGCAAGTGTAGGCCACCAGTGCCTGGCTAAAGGCAGCCACATCTGAATGTAAAGGTTGTAACTTACTCTGAGGACTTGGGCTTTCTGCTAATAAGTAACAGGGGGGCAGAGGCATCACATCTGGTGGAAATGAGCAGTGCCTGGACCCAAAAGGGAAACACGGGGGTGGTACTCACCTAGCAGCTGAACACCCCGGGTGAGGCCATACACATCCACCAGGGCCCAGAGCGGATCAGCCGTGCGGACCCCGTTGAAGAAGAGCATGGCAGCAGAGTCATTGATGCGGTAGAAGACGCGGCCTTTCTTGTCCACCCAGAAGGCTATGATGTTGCCCTCGTTGGCAAACTCCTCAGGCAGCGCCTTGGCCCAGAAGCCACTCTGGGACACCAGGTCGGGGCAGGCATACTTGGGCAGCGAGTCGGGGTGGATACGGGACGGGTCCTTGCTTGTGAAGCCCAGCCGCAGGGCTCCACTCCAGCAGCACTGCTTCTTGGTGATCTGGTGGCAAGGAGAGACCTCAGTCCAGACATTTGCCCTTGGTCAGACTGACCCTGCCATGCCTGACCCTCCTCAGGAGACTCCTAGGCTGTGTCTGAAGCCAGTTCACCCCCCCCCCATTCCACACATCCTCTCCCGCAGGGGGTCTTTGCACAGGCTGCTGAGAGCCACTGGTCCTCAGGGCCTTCTTTGTGACACAGCTTAGGAAAGTGTGGGTGTGGGTGGGTGGGTGAAAAGGAAGGGGGCAGGGTATTAAAGGCGGGAGTGGCTATGGGGGAGGTTGGGGTTGGGTGGGGAGTTTGGGGGCCCACCTTCAGCCTGACTTGCTCGTAGATGAGCACTGGGCGGTTACTGAAGGTGATGGCGTTGCAGAAGCTGGCCTGCCTCTTGACGGCCTTATGGCTGAGGTCCATGAGGATCTGGGAGCCCTTGGTGTGGGGGTGGAAGAGCAGCGGCGTGGCAGGGAGCCCCCCACCGGACAGCACCTGCGGGCAGTGCTTCTGCTTGTGGTGGCATCGGTGAGAGGTGACAGGGAAGGGGCCCCCAATGGAGTCTGCAAAGAAATGGCCACAGTGTCAGAGAACTTGACAGGATCAAGAGCCAGAGCTGGACCACCCCACCCCGCTTCTACCCACACCCCTCCTTGCCCAGGGAAGAGCTGTGGGCTGGGGCAGAAGCAGATGTTGCCCACTGTCCAATGTTCCCAAATCTCCACTTTTCCCATCATCCTCTCTTGCTACCATCCACACCCACCTCTCACCATACCATCCTGATTCATCCATTCATCTTGTTCAACACATATTCATTTTGTATCTGCTGTGTACCAGGCTCTGTCCTGGGCACTGGAGACACCAATGTGGATCCTGTCCTTTGACAGCCAAGACCCAGAAGGGACACAGACGTGGAGGGAAATTACTGCACAAAATGGCACAATGTGGCAAGCACCCAGAGGGCCTAGCAGCAGGCCTTCCAGAGGAGGGGAAACACAGCATCATGGAAGCTGGGCTACAGCAGCAACCCAGGAAGCCGCTGCAGGCCACTGCAGGCATGGCGCCGGTTCTGGGGGCATTTGGGATGTGCTTTCTTCCTCCACCTCCTCCTCCTTCTCCTCCTCCTCTTTCTCCTCCTCCTCCTCCTCCTCCTCATCTTCCTCCTTCTTCCTCCACCTCCTCCTCCTTCTCCTCCTCCTCTTTCTCCTCCTCCTCCTCCTCCTCCTCATCTTCCTCCTTCTTCCTTTTTCTTCTGTGTGTGCATGTGCATGTGTGTGTCACTCCTGGGGATTGAACTCTGGGCCTTACGTTCTCACTTGGCTTTTTGAATCAAGATTGGTGCTCTACCATTTGAGCCATACCTACACTTCCAGCTTCTGACGTAGGGTTTTATGAATTTGTCTGTCTAGGCTGGCTTCAAATCTCAATCCCCAGATCCCAGCCTCCAGAGCTAGGATTACTAGTATGAGCCACCTGCTCCCTGGCTTCTTTGTTATTAACATGCATTAGTTACACAGGGGAGGTGGCATTGTGACATTCGCCCTCATAGATACAATGTATTCCAATCTCACCCCTTCTACCACTCTCCCTTCCCTAAAATATTTTCAACAGGCCTCTTTGTTCTGTTTTCATACATGCAAACCATCTCATTTGACTGTTTCATTCACCTTCTTTGTTAGCCCGACCCCCATAAAGCTTGTTTCTCTTTCTTAACCTCTTCTGATCAACAGCTTTCATTGAAGTTCTTCATGTTATTTTCCCATGGAGTTGCAATGTGTTTCAAAATTATTCACTCATGTGTGCTTTCTTTCCTCCATAGATAACTGTTAAAACAGCCTAGAGGGCAGGGTCAGGATCCCTCATATAAACACTTGCAGGTTTCATCTAGAACACTGGGCATGGAGAAGAAAGCAACAGAACTAGATCTTGAGTGACGTCTACCACTCACTGCTGTGTGACTTTGGGAAAGACATTTCCCTCTCTGGCACAGTTTGTGGACTCTGCACCAGCATTAGCCACTAGCATTAGCATTCTTTGGCTCAAGGCTAGCATTATATGGGCTAGAGGTATACACCGCTTCCTCTCCAGTACCTGTGCCTCATTAACCCCACAGGAAGTAGAGCTGACCCTTCCGAGCACTTTATTTCTTTTTTTTTAAACTTGTTTTACAGTACGGAGAACTCAGTACAGAACTCAGGGCCCTGCACATGCTAGGGAAGTGCTTTGCTCAGTGAGCTGCATCCCTGGCCATTTTGCTTATATTTTATTTTTGAGACACAGTCTGTGTGTGTGTGTGTGTGTGTGTGTGTGTGTGTGTGTGTGTTTGCCAGTCCTGGGGCTTAAACTCAGGGTCTGGGCACTGTCCCTGGGCTTCTTTTGCTCAAAGCTAGCACTCTACCACTTGAGCCACAGCACCACTTCTGGCCTTTTCTATTTATGTGGTACTGAGGAATCAAACCCAGGCTTTCAAGCATGCTAGGCAAGCACTCTACCACTAAGCCACATTCCCAGCCAAGACAGAGTCTTATAAACTTTGCTTGAGATGGCCTTGAACTCAAGATCCTTATGACTCTGCCTCTCAAGTGCAGGAATTACAGTTTTGCACCATTATACCTGTCTACTTCCAACTTGTCATCTTAAGAAAAGAGAAACATGGAAGGAGAGGAAAGACGGAGGTAAAGGGCTCAATATGTGACATTTTGGGGTATTTCAGGTTTTGTTCCCCCTGTGACGAGACGTTAATGCAGAGCGGCATGGTCAGCATCAGGCCTGCCCAGACTTTTCCACTGGCTATCAGGGAGGGAGAAAATACAGGCAGGAAGAAGAGGAAGGGAGAGAGAAACTGGGGAAGGCCGAGACCTTCCCTCAGGCTTTGGTTTACATTGCTTTGTATCTCTTTGTATTTTTTTGTTTTTGTTTTGTCTGTTGTGGGGTTTGAACTCTGGGCTTGGACACTGTCCCTGAGCTCTTCAGCTCAAGGCTAGCACTCAACCACTTGAGCCAAGGCACCACTTCGGTTTTCTGGTCATTAATTGGGATAAGAGTCTCATGGACGTTCCTGCCCAGGCTGGCTTGGAACTGCAATCCTCAGATCTCAGCCTCCTGAGTAGCTAGGATTACAGGCGTGAACCACTGGTGCCCAGCTAGCTCTTTGTATTTCTTTTCATTTTCTTTCTTCCTTTCTTTTTTCCTTCTTTCCCTTCCTTCTTCCCTCCCTCCCTCCCTCCCTCCCTCCCTCCCTCCCTCCCTTCCTCCCTCCCTTCCTTCCTTCCTTCCTTCCTTCCTTCCTTCCTTCCTTCCTTCCTTCCTTCCTTCCTTCCTTCCTTCTTTTCTCCCTTCCTTTCTTTCTCCTTTCTCTTCTGTGTCTCTGTCTGTCTTTCCCTCTCTGTGTCTCTGTGTGTCTCTCTGTGTCTCTGTCTCTGTCTCTCTCCCCTTACTACCCCCCCCCCCCCCCACTCATTGCCAGTACTGGGGCTTGAACTCAGGGCTTCACACTCTAACTTGGCTTTTTCAGTCAAAGCTAGAACCACCTGAGCCGTGCCTTCACTTCCAGCTTTCTTTCTTCCTAGCTAATTGGAGCTGAGTCTCTCGGAGTTTCTCCAGAGCAGCTTCCTGTATGTCAGGCCCCAGAGGTGGGGGTGGCATGAGGACAGTTCGCCTTGCATGCTCCAAAGAGACAAGACGTTCTGGAACTGATGGATGGTGCAAAGGCTCTGAAAGCCATCAGGCTGTGAGCACTGGAATCACTCAGAAGAACCCCAGACAGTCAGAAGAGGATTCCTGAGTGGTCTCTGACCCATGAGGAGAAGGGCAGGTCATCTCAAGAAAAGATGGTCAGAGTGAAAGGCAGAGGTGGCACTGGCTACAAGTGTCTTGCTTGGAAAAGATGCTCACTGGGCTCAGGCCAGTGTCAGACATGGCTTGAATCTTGGTTTCAAAATCTACCTAACAAAAGGTGGCATTATACTTTACATTGTTTAGGGAGGCATCCATATATAGAAATGAATGCTGAAGGAAAATAAAATAACTGCCGTGTCAGTGAAGAACCAACTGGCCCCTCTGTACAACGGAACAGCACTCAGCAGTGAAAAGCAATGAACTGCTGGCATGAGTAACAATGATGCTGGGTAAAATCAGACTACTTCACAGCAAAAGCCATTGCCTACAGAGCAACTGCAGGACCCGTTTCTATTACAATCCTTCATCTTCCACCCTGTCCCATCTTGACCCAAGTCCAGAAAGTAAGCTGAGTTATGGCACTCACCTGCAATCCTAGCACTTGGGAGGCTGAGGCAAGAAGATTGAGTCTGTGGCTACCTTGGGGGCAAAGTTAGTGAGGCTCTAGCTCAAAAACAGAATACAAATAAAGGGCTGGCGCATGGCTCAAGTGGTAGAGCATTTGCCTCCAGGCAAGTGCCCAGGGTTCAATCCCCAACACCACCAAAAAGGAAAAAAAAAAGGCAGATAAATGGGTGCCTAGGGAGATGGGGAGAAAGAGGAATGGATTCTAGGGAGGCTGAGGCAACATGGAGGGTGATATGCTTATTATCCCCCGTGTGGTGCAGGCTGTGTGGGGGTATACACGTATTAGAACTTACCACACCATACAGGTTTTTAAAAAACAAACAGGCCTGGGAAAGTAGCTTGGTGGTAGAGTGCTTGCCTAGCATGCATGAAGCCCTGGGTTCGGTTCCTCAGTACCACATAAACAGAAAAGGCCAGAAGTGGAGCTGTGGTTCAAATGGTAGAGTGCTAGCCTTAAGCAAAAGGTGCTCAGGGACAGTGCCCAAGCCCCGAGTTCAAGCCCCAGGATTGGCAGGGAAAAAAAAGTCCCCATGAAACTCTTATCTCCAATTAACCACCAAAGAACCAAAAGTGGAGCTGTGGCTTGAAGTGGTAGAGCTCTAACCTTGAGCTCTCAGGGACAGCATCTAGGCTCTGAGTTCAAGTCCTAGGACTGGCAAATAAATAAATAAAAATAAAAATAAACAAACATTTTCGTGTAGGTAGTGAATGACAACTTCTAGCTCAAGAACACAGGTGGTTTTGAACCCCCTGAGCTGGGTTGCTGACTAGAGCAGCAACTTTCTCTTCAGACTCCACCCAGAGACCACGGACTCACTGTAGGGCCTCAGCGCCCATCCAGATGTTTCCTCTCCTTCCTGCTAGTCCCTATTGGGGTCCTGAAAAGCCCTGGGTAAAAGTCTAGAAAAGACTGGCTCTAGGAAGGTTTAGTGAAAATACTCAGGCTCTGGTGGAATGTTCCTCAGGACTTCTGTTCCACTGGGTGGTCCTAGGGTCATAGTCCCCTGCCATTCCCAGGGCTGGGGTGGGAGGGGGCAGGAGACAGCAAAGAATCCCCCTGGGCTGACAATAGAACAGATGGAGAAGGCAGTAGGGAAGCAACATGCACCCAGACATGTGGACCCGCTCAGGCACACACACCTGTGAGGACAAAGAAGGTAACCCTGCTGTTCATGGGAACAGTGGGGAGGACTCGCTCCTCTCCCTCATCCCTGGAACCCACATCTACGTTGGTGCTGTGCACATACACATGCATTCT